TATCGAATATATAAAAAATAATTTTTGATTGTTCGTATTTTATGTGCTGCCATACCGTTCATCAGATTGCGTTAAAACTTTGTCAACTAATTGCTTGTACTTGTGAGCAGGTTATAGGCATATTACAACTTACTTATAGGTGGCACACGTATCGTACCAAATTTATTTGGAATTTATATATCGCTCAACTTCAATGAATGTATTATCAGTCCTAATTAAACAATATAACTCTTTCAAATTTAAAAATAATTTCGACAATTATTTTTTCTGTGGCAGAAACGCGTCCGGTTACCAGCTATTTTTACAGTATTATAAATAATAATTACTTAATTACATGACAACAGACCTATATGTTTATTCTGAATCGAGGATTAATGCAGATGTCTATGGACCACAGTATCCGCAAACCATCTGGTGATCTGTGTACTCGCTTTTTACCTTTATTCCACTTCTTAAATGTATGGAAACAATATTTATTTAGTGCAAAATTTGCGAAAATTTTCTATTTCGATAATGTTTAACAATCTTTTTACGTGGTAGAGCCATGCTGCAGCTATATTACTGGTATAGTTGTAGCACGAATGGGTCAGCTTGAACGGGAAAGGACCACGCTCTCACAGAATACCAGCGTAAAATAGCTCACAGGATACCACTCACCATACGAAACACAGCAGTGTTTCGTATGGTGAGTGTAGAGAACCGAAGACCCTTTTTACTGGATACCAAGCATTCCATCTTAGTCCTCACGGGTGACAAAAAATTGGTAATAGACGTACCTACTCTGCATAAATTTATAGTTTAATTTTTTTTATAGGATAAAGGTGACAAACGAGCACACAGTTCACCTGATTGTAAGTGGTTGCTGTGGCCCATAGACATCTACCTCTATCCTCTATTAAAAATCAGAATGCCGATGTCTTGTCACTCCTGAGGACTAAGATGGAATGCCTGGTTTCCAGTAAAAAGGGTCTCCGGTTCTCTACACTCACCATACGAAACACAGCAGCGTTAAGCTGCTATTTAACGCTGGTATTCTGTGAGAGCGTGGTCCTTCCCCAGTCGAGCCGACCCATTCGTGCTACAACTATACTACTAATATAGCTGCAGCATGGCTCTACCACGTATAATATAAAAGAATGATAAATGTCTATCAACATTATGGCAGGTGAAAATTTTTCTAAGAAAATTAAAAATAACGCTCATGTTCAATATGCTCAAAATACGTCCAGATGATTATGATTATGTCGAGTGAACATTCACAATCTAAAGTTAATGATGAATAATCTAGAATTGTTCTTTGTCCTATACTGGGCACAGGCCTTTTACTTCAGAGAGGACTATGGAGCCGGGGGGAGACTGGAAAATGCGTGACGAATTCCCTTTTTTATAAAAATATATACTTATATGTGACCGTGAACATGTAAAATTACATTCCTAATATACTACAAACAAGTGGTAAAATAAAAATTTTGTACAACCGTCTTTAATATAAATAAAATGAGAACCTCATCAATGTAGTCAAAGTCAATTAAATACGCATAATTAAGGATAACTCAAAAACTACTGGTCGGACCTTGATCAAATGTACTTGTATATGTGGCCACATAAGAAGCATCAGCTTTCAAATAAAAAAAAGAATCATCAAAATCGGTTCACGCAGAAAAAAGTTATGAGGTAGCACACAAAAAAAAAGAACAGTCGAATTGAGTACCTTCCCTTTTTGAAGTCAGTAGAAAATGAAAATCGGCTTAGTGTGACTGTTTCTAAGTAAAGTTACTGCATATATAGGGCCTACTACTAGGCCTAGGTGTGCGCTGAGAGGGTTTTAAGGGCGAGGAAATGTTATGTTCAACAGTGGACATGTGAAGGGCTGTAATGATGATAATGATGAAGCTTCCTCACGATGTTTTCTTTTATCGCCGAACACGTAAATCAGCAGTTAAATTACAATTAATTTCATTGGTGCCGGCGGGGATCAAACCCGGGTTGCCCTTGTACTTTGAAATTTACAGCGAGCGCTTAGCACCTGAGTTATAACGGCTAGTAAGTAATTTAGGGAAGGTTTTTCAATTGTCAGTCAAAAGTAACTCATCTAGTAAATTATACCGTTAATTAAACTCCACTGCTGAACATAGGCCACCCACATAGATTGCCTCATATTTGGTGATAGTTGTAATGTTAATGCTGATTTAATAGTTTCACCTCTCAGTGGGTCATGTGCTCTTGGTAGATTATCTTCAATCCATAACAGCCTATTAAAGTGCACTACTGAATATAGGCCTCCCCCATATATTGCCTCATAGGGGGATTTGCCATAGATGTATTTTAATAGTTTTGTTGTATTTTATCCTATAAATAACTTTTACCTGATAATAACTAATAATTATAGTAAATTAATTTACAAGCGACGGCTCCGTGGCGCAGTGGCTCAGCAGTGAGTTGCCGCGCTAAGGGCCGCAGGTTCGAATCCCACACGGAACAAGTATTTGTATGGCGTACAATTCTTTTTTATTTTTTTTTAAATACTAGTAATACTATTAAACATTACTAATACTCCCTTTAACTGTGTGTGTTTAAGTGGTTCACGACAGTAGTCGAATGGTGGATTCGAACCCAAGTCCATTGTAGTTCGTGGTCCGCGCCCGGCCATTAGGCTACTGACGCTTAAAAAACGCTTACAAATAATTGTTTCGGATCTGGTTGTTTGTCCTTGTGCAATTTTTATATGTAAACTGCTTCCACGATACAGGAAAAAATCCTAGTGAGGTGGTAATGTGTTAAAAAAAAACAGACGTGAAACAAACGAAACTAAATTTACGTTTAAGCGATACCGTCGTATTAACACTAGTCGAATTATCATGTACAAAGAATACTGACTCTGCAAGGTTCCAGATTCGCGAGTTCAGCATAATTATATACAACAATAATACATATATTATGACTTAGTCTTTATGCATTTGTTATAAAGTCTATGTTTCAAAATCTAAATTAATTGGATGGTTGCGTTCTAAACTTGGTCTCATTTTAGTATCTTCCGTATTCGGTCACTACGAAAATGTGTCATGGGCACGTAAAAATCTAAGATAAAAACATGTATCAGTAGCACAGAAATAATTTGTCCAGACCGAATTCCAGTTTTTGTATTATTATAGGATAGGGCGACAAACGAGCCCACAGTCCACGTGATGGTTAGTGGTTGCTGTGACCCATACACATCTACATCTATCCTCAATAAAGAATCAAAATGCAGATGCGTTGTTACCCGTGAGGACTATCAATGGAATGCCTCGTTTGCAGTAAAAAGGGTCTCCGATTATCTACACTCACCATACGAAACATAGCAACGTTAAGTCGCTATTTCACGCTGGTATTCTGTGAGAGCGTGGTCCTTCTCCGGTCGAACCGACCCATTCGTGCTACAATTATACTACTAATATAGCTGCAGCTAATATATAACTCCAGCATGGCTCTACCACGGCGGCAGGTGTCAACAGAGACTAGAAATTCAGAATACCCTTAATCGACGAGTATGTATGCGTAGATATATGGATGTGAAATGAGCGAGAGAGGTTTGTCAGGATTGTTCCAAATGGAATATAATAGAATCATTTTTAACTGACTTCAAAAAAGGAGGAGGTACTCAATTCGATTGTGTTTTTTCCTCAGATCTTTTTTCTAGGTGTGAACCGATTTCGATGATTCTTGTTTTATTTGAAAGTTGGCGCTTCTCATATGTAGTCCCATATAAATTTGATCAAGATATGACCATTATATTGAAGTCGGTTGTAGATTTTTTTTTAATTTTACCACTTTTTATTTAATATAGATTACGAGAACACTACTTATTGAAAGTTATTTAAGCTTTACTACTGGTTCCGAAAATCCTCTGTCTTGGGTTGGCAAGAAACCCAGCGAAACATATTTTTAAATATTAATCTAATATTTATAAAAATTACGTGTCACATTGTTTGCCTGCGATGAACTCTTAAACTACTGAACTGATTACAATGAAAATTTGCACACTGTATGCAGTTTGTTCCAACTTTAGGATAGTTCTTATCCCGTGAAGTGACGCTCAATATTATTTATTGGTAATTTAAGGATTTTTATAGGACAAAGTCGGAGAGGGCAGTACGACGTCTGCCTGGCTAGCTAGTCTAATATATATAATTCTCATATCAATATCAATATCTGTGCATATCGGGTAGGTCTGAGAATCTGCCAACATCTATTTTTCAAATCCCTAAATGATAAGGGTATCCCTACCACTAAATATTTTTTATTTTTTCGATATTTTTTTTTATTTCTATATTATTATGATTTAGCGTTGAAAAATACATAAAACTTTAAATTTTTACCCTTCTACGATCAACCCCTGGTTTTAATCGCGATTTTTAATGTATATGGCCAAACAACCTGGTCAGCTACTACAATTTATTATTTTAGTATGAAAACATAGAAACAGCATGGTAGCGATCACCGCATTATTAGGGGTGTATCAATTATGCACTCTTTAGTTGTGTAATAACCCTAACTAAACAATTTTTGCTTAATAAATTTTTTAAAGGTTTTGATAGATAATGTCTGCATAATTCTCTGGGACTTCTTGGAAAATGTACACGACATTGCACCACGAAGGAGTTACCGACTCTTTGGAATCGAGTAACTGGTATTACTAACTTGTTCTTGTTCCTAGTATTTTCAGAATGTACATCACTGTTTTTAATAAAAACTATTTTTGTTTTTGTGTACATACGTTAATAATAATAAAAGTATAAGAATTAAAAAAAAAAAACTTAAAAAAAATAAAGAATACAACATTGGCACATTGTTTTGTGTGTATACAAACGTACACTAAAAACCGGAAAACTTTTATAAATGCAACTTTCCAATGATAATGACACTGACCACGTGAGTAACAAATAAAGTTCACCTTAGTCACAACTAGCGACATCTGGTGAGCGTATAAACTAAGCCCTCATTGTTGTTGTCTTCTTCAGGTGGGCTTCAAAGGCTACGGGCTCACGCCTACCCAGTTATCGGCCTCCGGTAGCTTCACGTACAGCGATGGTGCCACGTATACAATCACGCACGGTTCTGTCATCATCGCTGCGATCACCTCCTGTACTAACACGTCGAACCCTACAGTGATGTTGGGAGCAGGTGAGTAGTTATCATTTAACTATGTCCTCCAGGTATAATTGGATCACAGTGGTGACATCTGGACAATTTGATCTTCGCACATAGACGTCCATTACACAGTAGGTTTTGCTGTCAGTTTTACAACAATCACGGTTGTGATTGACGAATAACCTACCGTGTGATGCGGTGATTGACGATTGCATGAAGTAGATTGACAAATATCTGGATATTTTGATTTTTACATCAATCAACTATCAGTCACGAATTTTGATTGAACGTGTAATGGCATTTCGTCAATCTCGCATCGTTGCCCCTAGATTTTCTTCGGGAGTTGCTTTTCGCATACATGTATCTTGTGTTTTTAGGTATGGTGTGACCAAAACCAGTAACTTATCAAAATAAGCCTCTTTCATGCGAAAATAATTTCTATAGTCTTTATCCTCTTTTGAAACCCGTATGTCAAAAGTTAATATGTGTATAGAAATCCCTTTTTAACAGCCAGTCTTTTACTCAGCACCTTCTTTTTATACGTTTTTTTTACACAAAATTGCAGCACAGGCCTTTTTTTATGAACATCCATCCTTTCCCTCTGAAATTTTGGGTTTGACTGACGATCAGTCAGAATGAGCGTGTAATGTCGAAATTATTTTATCATTCAAACATCAATCGTGATTGATCGAACTGATTGACGCTTGCCTAGGCGTGTAATGGCCGTCATAGGCACTCGTTTTCAGGAGTCGTTTTACGCTTAGGATACCGTGTGAGTAATTACCAAACTCATCTATTTCTGCTACCAAATAGCAGTTTTGTTACTGATTATAAGCTTACACCGTACACCCGCGAACATGGGCGATTGTCATAGAACATCGACCGACACGAGCTAAGCAGTCGAGGGCGGGGGCCGCGCCATTCGGACAGCGGTTAGATAGCTCAAAGAAACCTCAACACAGAAGATCCTGTCCTATCATTCATTGGTAACAATACCAAATCATAAACCATCATCATCCTCATCCTCATCATTGCCTTTCCTTTTTATAATTAATAATATAATTTCCAGCATAACACTGCTGTGTTTCGTATGACGTGTGTAGAGAACCGGAGACCCTTTTTTACTGGAAACGAGGCATTCCATCTTAGTGCTATCGGGTGACAACGCATCTGCATTTTGATTCTTAATCGAGAATAGATGTAGATCTCTATGGACTACAGCAACCACTTACCACCAGGTGGACTGTGTGCTCGTTTGTCACTCTTATGCTATAAAAAAAGTTGTATCAGATGAAGCTATAAGAGCCATATAGGTTTACGGCACTAACATCTCGGAAAATAGATTATAAGCTAGTGCCCTTGAATGGTAAATCACACTGTCTTAGCGTAACAAAAGCCTACTCACTCTTGCCCCTGATGATGCCCAGATTGTATTCGGACGGAAAGACAGACGTCCGGCAATTTATTCCACTCATCTGCCTATTGGGCCACAGCACCGGAATACAGCTGTGCTTGCACTGCTATATTGCGACCTGCGCGGCTAACATGGGCTAGGGATAAAAAAATTATCCCCCGATTATATCCACTTATGAGAGATAAAATTATCTTGTCCTTCAGCCAAAGTACGGCAACAGGGAGAAATACATCCCCGTTTGACATAACGAGTATATAATATATACACATATATCCCCCGTCCGTAGCATGGAACCAAATGAAAGATAAAAAATTATGCTTCTTTGACATTTGAAAGGGACAATCTTATCCTAGGTTATTGGACGTGGGTTTAAGGTTATATTCATACAACAAAACGTATCTAAGCCTAACTCTATCTCCCATTTTATACACCGGTGCGGTATGCCCATGCTCAAAGGGTGGATAAAAATATACGGGGGATTAACATGTTCTCCTTTCCCCGGGGATAAAATTGTCTCCTGCCCATGATAGCCCTGCTGAGGGGTATGGAGGGTATGGAATAGTATTCTGTGAGAGCGTGGTTCTACCCCGGTCGAGCCGACCCATTGGTGCTGCAACCGGAACATAACTGCAACGTGGCTCTACTAAGAAAAAAAAATAATAGTAGAAACAAACGTAATGTAATGTATCAATTTGTTTCAGGTCTCCTGGCTAAGAAAGCGGTGGAGAACGGGCTCAGTGTTCTGCCGTACATCAAAACTTCCCTCTCCCCTGGTTCTGGAGTTGTTACCTACTACTTGAAGGTAACTTAATAACATGATAGATAGATAACACTTTATTGTACGGCAATAAAACAACATAAATATTAACAAAAAATGAGAAAAAGAAATGTGGTACAATGGGCGGCCTTATCGCTAAGAGCGATCTCTTCCAGACAACCTTTGGATGGACAGGATTGCAAGAAAACAATAAAGACGTGTGTGGTTTGGCGACAAAAATAACATTACTTTTATTAAAGCCATAAAATAGAAATATAGAATGGTATATAAGTACATAGATAAGATGAATACATACATACTTATTAATATATATATATATATATATATACATATATATATATATATATATATATATATATATATATATATATATATATATATATATATATATATATAAATATATATATATATATATATATACATATATATATATAAATATATAAAAGTACAAAAATATACTTATATAATAATTATTATAATTTTAATAATTATACTTATTACTTACTTATCTTCACGCACAATCCCTGACGGGGTAGCCAGAGAGAACAGATCGCCAAGTGTCACGATCCTTACATATCTCTTTCGCTTCTTTCAGATTCATTATCTTCTTCATACATGCACGTCTAGGTATCCGAGTACTCTTGACCCTACCCTCTTCGAGCAATTTGCTCACATGGTCTTCGAAAGTTAGTCTCGGTCTACCTCGACACCTTTTAATATTAACTTTCGCGCTATATATTTTCTTCACCATTCGGTCTTCACTCATTCGCTCAACGTGCCCAAACCACCGAAGCACGCCCTTATCAATTTTTGTGATAAGGTCATCTTTCAAACCTGCCATATTGCGAATCTCTTCGTTTCGCTTTCGGTCGGCCATAGTAACGCCGCACATTTTACGAAGAGATCGCATCTCCACTGCATTCAACTTACTTTTATGCTTCTTCTGGCATACCCAGGTTTCGCTGCCATATAACAAAGTCGGTACCAACACTGCGTTATGTATTGCAAGGCGTGCACTCTTCGCTACGCCTTGCCTTTTGACTAACGCAGTCAGGGCACCATTGACTTTGTTCCCGGCAGCGACACGCCTGTCCACATCTAAATCACATCTTCCATCCCGGCTAAAAGCACTCCCCAAGTATACGATTTCATTTACCTGTTCTAGACATTCCTGATTTACCCATATTTCACACTTCGTTCTCTCTTCGTCCCTTTCAAATACCAGAACCTTAGTTTTATTAGCATTCAAACGGAGACCTTTAATTTCACATTCCTCTTTCATACACGTGACTAATGCCTGCAGTTCTGCCTCTGATGGTGCAATAAGCACTGCATCATCAGCATACAGCAGACAATTTACTTTTATGTCATCCAATTTCACACCCAAACAGCTATCTTTCAACTTTTGTAAACAGCTGTCGAGATACAGTATGAACAGCCAGGAAGACATGACACAACCCTGTTTTACGCCCGTTTGGACGCTAAACATGGGTGACAGGTCATGCCCTACCCGCACACAGGCTTTACAGTCACAGTAAAGAGACTGCACAGCCCTTAGCAATCGGCCATCCACACCATACCCCGGCAACAGTTCCCACATTTTCTTCCTTACAACCTTATCAAACGCTTTCTCAAGATCCACAAAAGCACAGAAAATCTTCTGGTTAACAGCCAGAAGCTTTTCCGTGATCATACGGAGAGAAAACATTTGATCCGTGCATCCTCTTCCAGGTCTAAATCCGCATTGTGCCTCCCATAGAAATCTTTCCGATTTCTCTTGCATCCTACGTGTCAAAACCTTCGAGTAAACTTTACTTGCTAAACTGGTCAAGCTGATCGCCCGATAGCACCCGCAGTCAAAATGTGAACCTTTACCTTTATATAAAGGCACAATGACTGCGGATCGCCAATCATCCGGGACATCCCCCGTCCGCCAGCACAAATTGCACAGCAGATGAAAGCTGTCCCAGACGCGAGGCCCACCATACTTGACCATTTCAGCAGTAACTCTGTCTAGTCCCGCAGCCTTACCACATTTCAAACTTCGAATCGCACGTTCAATCTCTTTCATACTGATGACCTCAGTGTCATCGAGGTCCGGGTCTGGCGTGCCAGTCACGGCGTCATCCCCGGATCCCTCACTAAGATCATCACACGCATACATTTCTCTATAAAATTCGCTCCATCGCTGCATGACGTCCGATTTTTCTGAGAGGACGTCATTAGTTCTCGAAAGCACTTTGTTCATTCTTAAGGCCGTCGCACCACTTCGGGTCCTTCCAACCTCTTTCCAGAAGAGTTTGGAGTTCTCCTTAAAGTTGTGCGACAACCTTTCATCCGCTTCCATTCTACACCTTTCACGCACTTCCTCAATCAATGCTTTCGTGTGAACTTTCTGCAGCTTATATCTTTCTTTCATCTTCTCTCTCATATCCTTATCATTACTAGAGGCCAAGTAGTCTAACCATGCTTTCTTCTTCTTCTTTACAGCTTCTTTCACTTCATCATTCCACCATGCATCTCTTCTTTTACTACTGCCTCTTTTTATTGTTCCACACACATCTTCCGCTGCACTTACCATTCCATCCCTAAGGTTCTGCCATGTTCTTTCTACACATTCGTTTCTGCCATCGATGGTGTCAAGCTTTTCGGCTACCCTCGCATGATATTTGTCACTAGTATCCGCTTCCTGAAGCTTCCAGCTTCGGATCCGACAGACTGACTGTGGTTCTGTCACTGTCGTCCGGTAGCGCCAACCCGCGAACAGACCCCTAAATCTAGTAATCACTAGATAGTGATCCGTTCCCAGGTCAGCACCCCTGAACACTCGCGTATCCATAACCTGTTTTCGCAGTCGGTCATCCACCAGGAACAAATCGATCATACTTCTCTCATTCTTTCTTTCTCTAGTATACATATGGATTTTCTTGTGATTAAACATAGTGTTTGTCACAAGAAGACCCTTTTCCTTGCATACCGCCAGTATAAGCTTGCCAGCATCATTAACCCTTTTATCGCCAAACTTTCCAAGTACCGACTCGTACCCTGGTCGAGCGGTACCAACCCATCCATTCAAATCACCACATACAACAATTCTTTCGTTTCCCCTAGCCAAATCTAGAACTTCTCTTACATTCTCCCAAAACTCCTCCAGCTCAGCCCTGGACGACGAAGCCACCGGCGCATAAACAGCCAAAAGGAATAACTTCGTCAGTCCCAATTTAAAGCGAACCCAGAGAAGTCTTGAGTTCACAAACTTATATTCAGTCATAACATCGACCAACCGAGAAGACAGCAGCACCCCCACTCCCTGGCAGGCGTTCTCGCTCTCCGGGACTCCGGACCATAGAGCAAACGCCCCGCCAGGGAGCTCTTCAGTACCACTGCCCTTCCGTTTGGTCTCCGACATACACACGACATCTAATTCTCTTTCTTTCATTATTTCGATCAACTCATTCGTCTTATCTCTCATGCCTCCTCTAACATTCCACGTGCCAACTCTGCACTCCGTCCTCCACCTTCCGCCGTGTCGGGCTGTGCGTGACGGGTGGCGGTCCCCATCGCCGCTTTGCGCGCTGCATTCCACACCAACGGGGACGAGCTGGTGTGCGTCGCCTTGGGGGGACGCCCTAACCCTCGTTGACATGGGTGCGCAGCTGAGTAGAATTGCAGCCCTGAAAAGGGCTGGCAGGGGTCGCGACGAGCACGCTTCTACAATGACCCCCTTATTATACTTATTAAACTAAATTAACATGCTAACTTAGCAGATGAAGGACCATCAGTGCCCACTAGTTACGTGATGTAACTAGTGGGCACTGATGATGATTCGTAATCGAGAATAGATGTAGTAGAAGATGCAGGAAGTCGTTGGAAGCAGGCGGCTTTGGTCTGTGCTTTTTGGGATTTCTTGGCGGAGGTCCATATTTAACAGTGAACTTGTGATGAGTTGTAATGATGACGTAGATTACTATGTAGTGGCGGTGTAAGAACATCCACTACCCCATATCATCCCGTGGGTGTCGTAAGAGGCGACAGAGGGAAATTGATACACGAGATGGGCAACAGCCTCTTTCTGATAACAAGTCAAAATAATAAAAAAACTGCAGTTGTCATCCCATTTGCCAAGCGTGGCAAATATGGCAAAACTCTTTTTTCATGATAAGGGCGACAAATGAGCACACAGTCCACCTGATGTTAAGTGCAGTAAAAAGTTATGAGGTAACACACGTAAAAAAACATTTAGTCGAATTGAGTACCTCCTCCTATTCGAAGTCGGTTGAAAAAGAGGATAACAGGATTAGAAGATTGGTTACAGCATCGTTGCAGCTATGGCAAATATCCCCCCCCCCATTCCCCAATGAGACAATCTATGGGGAAGACCTATTTAGCAGTGGATTTTATAATAATAATAATAATAATATTTTATTCAGACTCAGTCCATAGAGATGTTAGTATAACAATAATAGTAATAACAATAATTTAAAAAAAATAAGACTATTGTTAGTATATGACTTCTTTTTCTTTATGTTCTTAACTTAACAAATTAACCATCCCGTGTACATAACATATATCTTACTTATTTAGTTTTACATGTAGACTTAACCAATGCCTCATAATGGCTGAGTCCCACCTATCAGCAAGTGTGATTAGGATGCTGTTGGTAGCGTTACGCAGACGACTCAGTAACGAAGCAGACCTTTTACGAATAACGGCATGAAAGCCATCCGTGTGTGCCTCAGCCAACATGGCAGAGGCACTACAATAACGCGGCAATCCCAACAGCACCCTGAATGCATTATTATATTGGACATACATTATAGGCTGTAGTTGTAATGTTAATTAATCCGTTTTACATTTACACTGTAATATGTTCGGAGTGAAGCTCATCACGCCACCTACCGCTAAGGCCAGAAGCAGCTAGTTAATAAATAAAACGCAAATGCATACATATTAAGACGATAATATATTTATTAAATTTTTATCCTATTCCATTCCATAATATCTGTTCGCAGGAATCCGGCGTGGTGCCATATCTGGAAAAGTTGGGCTTCAACATAGTGGGCTACGGCTGTATGACCTGCATCGGCAACTCGGGGCCCATCGATGACAACATTGCGAACACCATCGAGAAGGTGAGCTTCGCTTCCATTCATCACCATTACTTCTCAAAATGACATTATGTGTAGGAACTACAAGCAAAAAAATATTCTCATGTTAAATGTAAAAAAAAATTAATATAGGTACCACGTTTTAAAAAAAAAACTTTGATTTTTTATTTTCATATTCTTGCATTGTCATCCGATACTGAGCTATGCTCAAAATTTCAAATCTAGCTCATATCGGGAAGTTTATTATAAATTAAATAACTAAATTTGACATAAACGGACTATATATATATATACATATATTATACAAATAAGTATGAAAACATTTACAAACAGCATGGTAGCGATCACCACATTTCGATAGGTTATTATCGATCATGTATCAGGGGTTAATAATTTTCTGCTCACCAGATGTCGCTAGTTGACACTGAGGTAAAGTTTTGTGTTACACAATGTAATTTATTTGAGAAGTTGTTTTTAATAAAATTTTATCGGTTTCTAGAGTATTATATTAATACACAAAACAATGCGTCTGTGGTTTGCTCTTTAATTTTGACGTGACAACGTCTTTTAATTCGATGAAGCTGGCTGCACGCACGAAAAAACATGACTCATGCGGCGTTACCTCGCTCTAAGGCGTTCCATTTTAGGCTTGAAGTGCGAGCGAGAGCGCGGAACGAGCGACAAAGAGGCACAATCGGCGTTGTTACGTTCAACTATCGTCAGTAAACCGACTTTACAGACAACCGATTTTTTTTTGCATAATTTTAACTTTTTTTTATTTTTCTACTTCTATCAATATCCGTGGTTTGGTTTATTTATTTTTAATGTTATTAATATAAAATATAGCTAATAGTACAAAAAGAAACAATAACTTTTACATTTTCCGAACTAATTATCTTCCCCGCTATGAAATCTCTGTGAAATCGTGACTGTTGAGAACCGGAGACCCTCTTTACTTGGAGACGAGACATTCTATTCTAGTCCTTAACGATAACAACGCATCTGCATTTAGATTCTTAATCGAGGATAAATGTATATGTCTATGGGATACAGCAACCACTTACCATGGTGGACTGTGTCCTCGTATGCCATAATAATTAAAATAAATCACAGAACGAGCTGGTGTGCTGTGGGGTGCTGTCTGGAAACCGCAACTTCGAGGGTCGGATCCATCCCAACACCAGGGCCAACTACTTGGCTTCACCGCTCCTCGTCATAGCGTACGCCCTCGCCGGGACTGTGGATATCGACTTTGAGACTCAGCCCTTGGGTGAGTGACATACCTACTTTTCTTACTTGTTTCTCTCTTTTTCTTAATCGGCCAATAAAAGTCCATTGGCGGACATGAGTCTCTCACGTTGAGATGATGTACCCTAATATATATATATACATATATACTAGCTGGCCAGGCAGACGTTGTACTGCCCTTAGCGGCGAAACTCTGTACTATAAAAATACTTAAATTTGCAATAAAACATACTGAGGGTCACTCGTCGGGATAAAAACTATCCTATCTCTTAAGTTGGACCAAACTGCACACAGTGTGCAAAATTTCATTGAAATCAGTTCAGTAGTTTAGGAATCCATCGCGGACAAACAACGTGACACGTAATTTTTATATATAAAGATATATGTAAATAGTTTGAAAAAACATGTTGTTCGTTTCCAATACAGTTCATTTATTTAGTCTCGTTAGTGTCGTAAGAGGCAACAGTGTGAAAACTGAAACAAGAGATGGGCAGCTGCATCTTCATGATTACAAATCGGATAAAATACAGAAAAATAACCGGTCAAGTGCGAGTCGGGCTTGTGCATGAAGGGTTCCGTACCACCGTAATACATGTTTCTGGTGTGGGGACACTCTTTAATTTTAATTTTTATTATTTGTTGTTATAGCTGCAACAAAAATACACATACAGTGAAAATTTGAAATGTCAACCTATTACGGATCATGAGATACAGTCTGCTGACAGACGGACGGACGGACTACGGACGGACAGCGACGGCTTATAATAGACTTGGTTACCCTTCGGGTACTGCCTGCCGAACCCAGCAACTATGGCACATATTTTACAATGAGGCAATCTATGGGGGAGGGCTTATGTTCAACAGTGGACTTTACTGAGTTATGAATGAATGAATAAATAAATGAATGAATATATATATCGATGTAGATTTATGTATGTATATTAATTTTATTTTATTATTTTCCATTTTCCTTTATCGGAGTTTACACCAGCTATCACTTCTTTCTTTTCCCAGGGTTACTTGGTAAAGAACGCCACAAGGGATTAAATACGCTCATTTTATGACCTTATTATAAAAAAGTGTGTGTGTACTTATGTACACACGTACGAAATTATACATCTTTAGCGTAACAAAACAAAAAAGCATGAGAGATAACTATCCACTGTAGTTGTCGCTTTTAGGTGTCAGTGTGCGCGCGCATGGGAACAATTTCACTCTTATAATTTTTCTCGAACGCCGCAAAAGAAGTATAGCTTCAAAAACTGCGGTTGCCAACCTATGGATGAGACCTATGTTCAGTTGTGGACTATTCTAGGCTGTAATAGATGGATGGAATACTCCAAGGATTCCCCTGTGTAGATAACACCCTCTGATCCATTTAGCGCTTTCAATAGCGCTGCTATAATAAAACAACCTTATTAGTAAACAACTAAGGTCAGTTGTTAATGCAAATATACATTTGTAAGCCGTGTCAGAACTGAGACGTAATAAAGAACTGTTATTGGAAAATCGCCTTTAACTTGATGACATAGAAATCCCTTCAAATATACATTTTATCTTACTACTACAAACGTGTTATGTTTCTCTGGTCAATAACTGCGTCTTTGTGATACTTTTTATTAGAACGATGAACCTGATGATGAATATAATGAATGAATTTACTTTTAAGAGCACCACATTATCCGTGTTCCAAGGTACGAATCGAAAACTAAAGTGGTGAGAGTTACGACAACTTTTCTGTTTCTTACCTATTTCTGCCGCCAAATAGAATTATTAGCTGCAAGGTGTTCCATCTTAGTTTTCAGGATCAAAATACTTAATTGATCAACAAGATTCAGGATTGGTTAGCAAAGAAAATATTTCTATAAGCAGAGACCTAAATTTAGGTTTATTGTTAAATTTGTAAAAATATGTTACGACTAAGTGCGGTTGCCGGCTAGAACTAGGTGCGGCTAAACTAAATTTATAAAAATACAAAAATACGTATCAAGTAATATCAGCGACAGTAGGTTAATGTGCGCCTGGGGTGGCCCAAAGGCCAAAGCTGCGTACATTTTTTTTTAATAACAGTATTAATCTTTATTATTTTTTAGTTGTATACCCTCTAAGTGGTTATCAAAATTTTATAAACATGAGTCACTCATTGCACTGGACTAAAAAAATTACAGCCGTCCAGAATGTCAGAAATTGCCGATTGATTTGATAATATTTGCTAGCCATGGTTCGCTGGCCAATTATCTATTTCTGTTGCTAGATTACATTTTAAATAGCAATCTACTTTAAATTAGAAATAATATTAACAAATACTATAATCTCTATTTATATCTTTCGATATATTTTAGGTGACTATAAATAAAGATAAAAAATTAAAAGGAAACTCACAAAATGGCTGACAACAAAATGTATTTATACGTTAGACGAATACATGAATTATTTATTTCTTGGCACGATATCGCGGGGAACAGGACTGTTTGATAATTAATAAAATAACAGACATAAATATATTTATTCCAACACTTACATCTTCTACACACATGACAAATTACAATAAAAAATAAAAAAGTGACTAATTAACAAACAAACAAACAACAATTAGATTAAAGAAAGGAAGTGCGTCCATTATATGTGTATGCAAATTAAAATGTGTGTTATGATGATATTTAAATTACTAGTTATAGTTTTTAATCCGTTAGCTGCCTTGTCAGTCACTTTGTACTATATTGCATATAAAAATGACTGACGGCACTGTAAGTGTTAATATTGTATATAATATAATATTATATATTACTGGTTAATTGCATATATTTTTTTTAATTTATTGATATTTTTTTAGGTATTAGACATTATAAAATTTATCCGCCCCGAATTCGCACGGGTGATTTTTGGATCTCAGCAACATATTATGCACGTATTATACATATAAACTGTCCTATTGAATCACTCTGTCTATTGATGAAGACCGGATCGAAATCCGTTGCGTAGTTTAAAAGATCTAAGCGTACAGACGGCGGGAAGCGACTTTGTTTTATACTATGTAGAGAAGAGAAGATAACAAACAACGATATGCATTTAATAATGGTGAAATATGGAATATGTAACAATGTAATTATATTTTTGACATTTAGTATTTATTGTAAAAGTTTGTTAATTTATCGATTTTTTTCCTATGTAGTTGACATTTATTAAATATAAATACTTGACGTTAAAATATTTTTAAATAGTTTCATAATTAATTTTCTCATCATGCTTTTTTAATAATTCATTGCATTACTTTGTGATAATAATAAAAGTTTAGTATAAGTAAAAATATTACACGTCTTTATCATGGTAGAATGTAAGGTCTCATTAATAACTAATAACTTATCATTATTATTTACTACATTCTGGCAACAAATTAAATCAAATCAAATTGAAAATTTATATTTTAATAACGTAATTAGGGAAGAGGGAGGACGGCAGCCCGGTGTTCCTGAGAGAAATCTGGCCCACACGCGCCGAGATCCAGGAGGTTGAAGACAAACACGTCATCCCCGGCATGTTTAAAGAGGTGAGTCATCTGAAACACAAAAAAATTAATTTGTTGGACGACGCCGTGGTACCGAATAGTATAGAATCGTTTTTATTCCATATAGATTACCATAATACTTATTGAAAATCATTTTAACTTTACTACTGGTACGGAATAACCTCGCTTCTGGAAAGAACCAGCAAGAAACTTTTTTTATAGAATGATGGTAATATATACGTGGTAGAGCCATGTTGCAGCTATATTAGTAGTATAGTTGTAGCACGAATGGGTCGGCTCGACCGGGGAAGGACCACGCTCTCACAGAAAACCAGCGTAAAATAGCAGCTTAACGCTGCTGTGTTTCGTATGGTGAGTGTAGAGAACCGGATACCCTTTTTACTGGCAAAGAGGCATTCCATCTTAGTCCTCACGGGTGACAACGCATCTGCATCTTGAGTCTTTATTGAGGATAGATGTAGATGTCTATGGGTCACAGTAACCACTTACCATCAGGTGGACTGTGTGCTCGTTTGTCACCCTATCTTATATATATATAAAAAAAAAAGAAAAAGTAGATGCTGTGGCCCATAGACATCTACATTTATCTCCGATTAAAAATCAAAATGCAGATACGTTATCACTAGTGCCGTGAGGACTAAGATGGAATGCCTCGTTTCCAGTAAAAAGGGTCTCCGCTTCTCTACACTAACCATACAAAAGACAGCAGCATTAAGCTGCTATATTACGCTGGTATTCTTTGAAAAGGTCCTTACCCAGTCGAGCCAACCGATTCGTGCTACAACCAAATTATAGCTGCAGCGAGTATAGAAGTAGAATCCTATGTGCCACAGCATCAACTTACCATTAGATGGACTCAGGCTCGTTTGTCACCCTTATTGTATAAAAATAAAACCATAACGCTCTTCGAAATGAGAGGAGGCCTGTGCCTAGTAGTGGGCCTTTATAGGCTGTAACTTTACTTTTTTAACCATAAACAACAGAAAAAGTTTTGGTCATTACTGAAAACCATCTTATCTTGACCTTTCTTGGTATGTCTCTGTTATTTTCACGTATTTTAAATTATGAATTTGTATACTGTTATGTACATTTATGTTCGTAGTATACGTCAGTAGTCAATGACGATGGCTCCGTGGCGCAGTAGTTTAGCAATGAGTTGCAGCTCTGACTGCCACGGGTTCGAATCCCGCACGGAACAAGAATTTGTATGGCCTACAAATAATTGTTCCCGGTCTGGATGTTTGTTCTTGTGAAAGTTATGTATGTGAACTGCCTCCACGATACAAGAGAAATACTAGTGTGGAGGTAATGTTTTTTAAAAAAAAAACCGTGTAGTGGCGGTGTAAGAATATCCACTACCACATATCGTCCCGTGAGTGTCTTAAGAGGCGACAGACGGTAACAAATCAGGAGATGGGCAACAGCGTTTTAGTGATGATAACCCAAAACAAAAACTGCGTTTACCAAGCTTGGCAACCATGGGAAATATCTTCCTTATGAGGTAATTCATGAAGGAAGTCTATGTTTGACTGTATTGGACGTCAATAGTTTGTTCCAAAATTAAGCTAATATCCGCGACTTTTGTTCGTTTTGCTTGATATATTAACAAAGAAAACACACATCACTGAACCACGTAGTGCTTATAAAAATCGTTGTTTCTTAAAACTTTATACGTGGTGGAGCCATGCTGCAGCTATATTAACAGTATAGTTGTAGCACGAATGGGTCGGCTCGACCGGGGAATGACCACGATCTCACAGAATACCAGCGTAAAATAGCAGCTTAACGCTGCTGTGTTTCGTATGGTGAGTGTAGAGAACCGGAGACCATTTTTACTAGAAACGGGGCATTCCATTTTAGTCCTCACGGGTGACAACGTATCTGCATTTTGATTTGTAGTTGAGAATAGATGTAGATGTCTATAGACCGCAGCAACCACTTACCATCAGGTGGACTGTGTGGTCGCTAGATATTGCAATAATTTTTTTTAGATATCTAAGAAATAAAACTTACGAAAGCTAATTGAAATTTATGCAGTAGTTTTGTCGTGATGCACGCACAACTGCCTTTATCATTTACATTTATATAGATGTATTTCTTAGTCCTTCCTGCGAACAAACACTAAAATATTTTTTTTGAAAAAGTGTTGTCTTTTGAATGTAACAGGTATACGAGAGAATCGGGATGGGTTCCCCCGCTTGGCGATCCCTAGACGTCCCGCAGGGGAAACTGTACAGCTGGGACGCGAATTCTACTTACATAAAGAAACCTCCGTTCTTCGATGGAATGACGAAGGTGGGCTATTTGTTTCTATTATATTTTTGTACATATAAATTACCAGGAGCACATGACTCACTGAGGTGAAATTATATTAAATCAACAGTAACATTACAACTATGACATAATCTCTCCTAGGAGGCAATCTATGGGGGAGGCCAATGTTCAGCAATGGACTTTAATAGAATGTAATGGATGGATGTATAGAAGATAATGTACCAGGAGCACATGACCCACTGAGAGGTGAAATTATTAAATCAACAGTAACATTACAACTATGACATAATCTCTCCTATGAGGCAATCTATGGGGGAGGCCAATGTTCAGCAATGGACTTTAATAGGATGTAATGGATGAATATATAGAAGATAATGTACCAGGAGCACATGAGCGTACGGCTTATCCCCTGGTCTGATTGAATGGGTAAAGGACTTTCTGAGTGAACGGTCTCTCCAGGTCGTCGTAGATGGCTGCTCATCCGATCCTATGGCGACTAACGCCGGTGTTCCTCAGGGGTCCGTTCTCTCCGCAACTCTCTTCCTGCTGCATATTAATGATCTGCTTATGCCCGATATCTATGGGTATGCAGACGATAGCACAGTTGAGAGATACCAACCAAGTCCTCGGGCCAGTCGGGATCAAAGAGAAAGAAGACAGAGAAGCTATGGTAGAGCGTGTGAATCTCACATTACAGGCAGTCTCCGATTGGGGCGATGCCAATCTTGTGAAGTTCAACGCATCCAAAACACAAGCGAGACTCTTCACTGCAAAAAGGAGCCAGCTCTCCTTGGCTCCTTCTTTCCGAAATGTATCACTGAAATATACCGACCGCCTTCAGTTGTTAGGGTTTGAAATATCCTCAAATTTGAACTTCGGGCGGTTCATTGAGTCCAAGGCCAAAGCAGCTGCAAGGAAGCTGGGAGTCCTTGCAAAGGTGCGGCGATACTTCACGCCGGGACAGCTGCTTACTTTATATAAAGCGCAAGTCCGGTCGTGCATGGAGTATTGCTGCCATATATGGGCTGGTGCTGCAAAATGCCACCTAGCAGCTTTGGACTCAATGGAAAGGCGTGCTAAGAGGCTTATTGGTGACCCGAATTTATTTAAAACCAATCTTACCAGCCTCGAACACAGACTTAAAGTAGCCAGCCTTTCGGTTTTCTACAGGATGCATTTCGGAGAGTGTGCTCAGGAATTACATAATTTAATTCCACCCTCTCCCTTCCACCATTGGACAACCAGACGTTCGGCCAGTCTCCATCCTTTCGTTGTTGACTTACCACGCATTCGAACCAAACGGTTAGCCACGTCGTTCATCACGCGTACAGCAAAGGAGTGGAATAAGTTGCCAGCATCTGTATTTCCATCCGATTACAGTGTGGGTGTCTTCAAGGCAAGAGTGAATAGGCTTTTGTTAAGTCAGTGCGCGTCACCATCTTAGGCTACATCACCACTTACCATCAGGTGGGATCGTAGATAAGCGCTGGCTTAGTAGAATATAAAAAAAAAAAACTTAAGCTATGAAGAGAGCTATGCTTGGGGTTTCCTCTGCGTGATAGACTTATAAATGAGGACATCTGCAGTAGAACCAGAGTGACCGACATAGGCCAATGGATTAGTAAGCTGAAGTGGCAATGGGCCGGTCATATAGCTCGAAGAACCGACAAACGATGGGGAAAAAAGGTTCTCGAGTGGCAGCCTCGTACCGGCAGATGAAGTGTAGTACTTTCCCCCACTAGATGGAGTGACGACCTGGTAAGGCATGCAGGAAGTCAATGGATACAGGTGGCTCGGGACCGTGTTTTGTGGCATTCATTTGGGGGAAGCCTATGTTCAGCAGTGGACTTGTGAAGGGCTGCAATGAATGAATGAATGTTTTTACCTTAGATTTTGGTTTTATTTCAATAGTCTAATGAACTATCAGCGGTTATAACGTCTTTTCTCTCAACAGGAATTACCCCCAATCAAAAGTATTGAGAACGCTCGCTGTCTGCTCCTGTTGGGTGATTCTGTGACTACGGATCACATCTCGCCCGCCGGCTCCATCGCAAGAAACTCTCCTGCCGCTCGTTATCTCGCTGCTAGGGGGTGAGTGTAATAACTATTTAATTTTAATAGTGATCGCTTAATGGTCGAAATTCGACTGTAATTTAAAAAAAAATTAAGTTTGTATAATGAGCAAGCCGTGGACAGAGAGAAACAAATCAGTAGATGGGCGACAGCGTTTTCCTGCTAACGAATAAAAATAACCGGCCAAGCGCGAGTCGCACTCGCGCATGGAGGGTTCCGTACCATCGTGAAATAGGTTTCTAATAGGGGAGCCCCCTTTAATTTTTAATTTTTTTTTATTATTTGTTGTTATAGCTGCAACAGAAATACACATTCTGTAAAAAAATTCAACTGTATCTTTTACGGATCATGAGATACAGCTCTCTGACAGACAGACGGACGGACGGACAGCGGAGGCTTAGTAATAGGGTCCCGTTGGTTACCCTACGGGTACGCAACCCCAAAAAAGCGTGGCAAACATGGCATATATCCCCCATATGAGGTATACTATGGGGAGGCCTATGTTTATCACTGGACTTTTTATGTCCGTAACGGATCAGTTGCGAGCGAGTCGTTGCTAACCATAATTGCGTTTGGTCTCACGCACGCTTTGATACGAATGCCATGCTGCAGCTATATTAGTAGTATAGTTGTAGCACGAATGGGTCGGCTCCACCGGGGAAGGACCACGCTCTCTATTCACCAGCGTAAAATAGCAGCGTAACGCTGCTGTGTTTCGTATGGTGAGTGTAGAGAACCGGAGACCCTTTTAACTGGAAAAGAGGCATTCTATCTTAGACTTCATTGGTAATAACGCATCTGCATTTTGATTCGTAATCGAGGATAGATTTAGATGCTTATGTCACTTACTATCAGGTGGACTGTGTGATCGTTTGACACTCTTATGCTATAAAAAAAAATGTATACATTGCCCCATAAAGGAATTACTGGCTTTTTGGATCTGTGTAATATAGCGTTATTAGCTGGTTTTCGTTATTGGCACTGTACATGTTAGCGGTACGGGCTCGATGAGCCGCCATTTCTTATCCCATTTTTTAACCTCACGAGTAATAAATAGATCATTATTTTGACGTTCCATTGTCAAAATTAACCTGGAGTGTCTTTGATATTGGGTCATCAATTTCCTCAGTCCCCCTGTTAGCATGAGTTCAGTAAAGCACCCGAAACGTCCGGAATTAAAAATATTATTAATTAAACGCGAAAAATTCCGTAAGAGTCGTTTCATTCAATGTGTAGTGTTCGCGTAAATATGGAGCAGACACAGGACAGCAACTTACATTTGCGGCAGCTTAAGGAGGGTTGAAGTGGAAGGAGACGAAAACTTTTTCCCATATTACTTATATGTTAACTTAACTACTGTGACAATGTGAGTACACAGAAATATTAGACTACCGAGCTTACAAACTAACTTAACTACTACTGTGCGATTTTAACAAATGAACTCTGGTTTTATACTATGTTGAATATTCTTAAGTCACGTTAGTGATTTGAGTCTTGTCTTTAAAGACATGCTGTTATTTGCTTAGCAGGCGGTGCTGTATGGCAAGTGACTTCCTTATGGCAAGTAAAATCCCGTAGGTGTATGTAACTAGCAATGTGAGAACTATGTTTGTTTATGTATATACATTAAATTTTCCTCAATATATTGAGAGTAAATTTTAATTTTACCCCCCCCCCCCCCCTCCCCCACGCTCCCTGTGCAGGCTGACCCCGCGCGAGTTCAACTCGTACGGGTCGCGGCGCGGGAACGACGCGGTGATGTCGCGCGGCACGTTCGCCAACATCCGCCTCGTCAACAAGCTGAGCCCCGCGCCCGGGCCCCGCACCACGCACGTGCCCAGCGGGGACCTCATGGACATCTTCGACGCAGCCGAACGGTAACCTATTGACCACTCCTTTTTTTTCTTGTCTTCAGTGTTTTTTTTTCGTAGTAAAACTGCTTTATCGACGTAGTTAAAAACTTAGTACGGTATTAAAAAGTCACTTTTTCTCGTAACGATTTCTTGTAATGTTTCACCGCCAGAGCTGCATGAGTATACTGTATACAATTATTAAACTATGCCTATAGTACTTAAACTACCTAAGTATTTACATAATTACACGCACAATTATTTTACACACACACACACACACACATACACACAAATATATATATATATATATATGACGGCACGTGTGGCGGCATCTGTGTAGCTAGACAGAATTCTTGTAAATAACACGTGCTCCGCACACCTGCACCATTGCACCTGCGGTGGCGCCCGTTTAGCTTGTATAAAACGGACGGAGCTGCCACCGTTAGGACAGTCTTGGCTCTGACGTGGAACGACGACTAGTTGGATAAGTAATTCGTGTAAACGAATTAATTATTATTCCTAACTTCAAAATCAGTATCTGTACTATACCCATTATACTTCCTACATATATATATATATATATATAAAGGGTGACAAGGTGACGAACGAGCTTATAGCTGATGGTAAGTGGATACCATAGCCCACAGACATCTATACATGTATCATCGATTAAGAATCAAAGTACGTTTGATATAATATCTCCAATTCTCTACACTCACAATACAAAATACAGCAACAATAAGCTGCATTTTTATACGACATGATAAAGCCACTCCGCAGCTATATAATGGTTGTAGCACACATAGCTCGACTGGACCGGGGTAGAACCACGCTCTCACAGAATACCAGCGTAAAATAGGAATAGAATGAGTGTAGAGAACCGGAGATCCTATTTACTGGAAACGGGGCATTCCATCTTAGTCCTCAGGGATGACAACGCTGCAGTTTGATTTTTTTGATTTTTAATCGAGGATAGATGTAGATGTCTATGGGCCGCAGAATCCTCTCACCATCAGACGGACTGTCTGCTCGTTTGTCACTTTTATCCTATGAAAAAATAATGACTCAAGTTTTTGTTCTTTACCATTTTCCTATCAAAGTAAGTGTATGCATAAAAAAAATTTACAGATACGCGTCAGAGAATGTGCCTTTGATAGCAATCGTGGGTAAGGACTACGGTTCCGGATCTAGTCGAGACTGGGCTGCTAAGGGACCTTTCCTTTTGGTAAGATTTTCTATGGCCCTATTTGGAATATGAGTTATTTACTTTATTGTTACTTTTTACAAGACAGGCAATGGTGTTAGACCATACAGCCTAATCTCATATGTATTTAATGAACATAATTCTTTATAATATGCTGATGCGTTACGTTGCGAAAAAGTTTTTGAATATTTTGAGGACAGCTGTTGCTGGGTAACCAGCAGATAGTTTATGACGATAGTATATTAAGTCGCCCAGGTGGATATAAAACCTAGACGTTTATATCATTATCGAAACACTTTTAACATCGTTTCCTCTAATAGTTCACTTGGGCTGGCATTTAATACACAAAATCATATCCCATGCATACAGCATTACAATACAATTCAAAGTATTATTTATATAATATCAATACAATACGAGAGTTACAGTCGACTGTTGATAATTTGAAACTCAAGGGACCAGAGAAAAAATTCAAACGACCCAGAGTTTAAAATAACAGCATTTGAGATAACCAAGATGGAGGGAGGAAAAATAAAGTGAACAAGAGTTTGATGAAAATTCGTGATAAATTATTTTAAATATTTCTATTCAATTAATTTCAATCAATATAGATTCTATTCAATTTATCGAGTATTTTTCAAGGGACCGGGAAAAATTTTCAAATTATCGAGAAATTCAAATTAATGAATGTCAAACATCGAACATTGACTATGTTCAACTGAACTGTACTGCAATCCGTACACTGAACTAAATATTGCGTAAATTGAAGATTTGTGAATTCCATAAGATAATAATTATTACATCTTATTTAGAAATATGTTTGTTTAGATTAAAATAGGAGTATTTTATAATAAATTCTTATATTTATTTTATATTAATATCTTATAGCGCACAATTTTTGTTTGGAATGGCTTCTCTGGTACGTAGTACATATAACTCAATGGTGTCAAATTATCGAGAGTCGACTGTGATTCGACCGGTTTGAAGGGTATAGGGATCCAGTATAATTGCATACTGTGAGGGATTCCAACTTAGTCGTAGTCCTCAGATGTGACAATGTATTTTTTTCTCTTTATTTATTTAAGGATTTTTGTTTGTTAACATGTCAATACAATTATAACTAACTTAAAATCTATACATTTACTATTAATCTGCACATACTCAATGCAATATCCGAGGTGGGGGCATGTAGAATGCCTTGAGCAATACGCATATTGTACACATTTATTTTATATGTCCATATAAATAATTCCCTTGCCCCTCGGTTCCAATCACATTCCATTAAAAAGATGTAAGTCTTCTATTATTCCACAAGTTTCACAATTAGGTGAATTGTGAAAACACAAGTACTTTGCATCAGATAAGAAATTGTTTTTTTGATGGAATGTGACCTGTTCTTATTCTAAATATTAGTTTAAAAAATTTTCTATTTAATTTCGTATCTACAAACCAAGGTATTCGGGGCGACTCACTCTGTATCGTTTTGTACCAAAATACCTTTCGTTTTAGAGCGTTCATTAAAAAATTCTTTCCATTCGATATAACATATTTAGTTTTGAATTTTGGCAGTACTTCCGAGTAGCAATGGTCGATATTATATCAGCTACACCATTTAAATACAACTAATTTTATGGATTTTATCGTGTATATTAACTTACCTGAATATATACGCGATAAAATCCGTAAAATGAGTTTTATTTGAATGTGTAGTGTTCGCGTAAATATAAGAAATCCTCTTCACCATTTATACAAGACAATGTATTTGTACGTTGTTGGTTTGAAGATGGTTACAGGTGTCAATGGAATGCAGTAGTCACTTATCACAAGGGGAAAATAGAGGGGAACGGGGAAGTGGGTGGGGGAATGGGGTGGAGGTGGTGGTGGAGGTGGAGATTTTGTAAATTTTAATGAACTTTCTTTCCTTTATTTGATCGTAATCGTATTGTCCCCCATGCAGGGTATCCGCGCAGTGATAGCGGAGTCGTTCGAGCGCATCCACAGATCGAACCTGGTGGGCATGGGGATCATTCCACTGCAGTTCCTGCCAGGAGATAGTGCAAGCTCACTAGGTCTTACCGGGACTGAGCAGTACAGCGTGCTGCTGCCCGACAACCTTCGTCCTGGTGACCTCGCCACCGTGCAGGTGAGTCACCAGCTTGACTGGTTCCTGTTTAAGAACATGAGCCCCGTATGCTAAGGTAAAACCATACAGAGCTCCTGGGGTAAGTTTACTGGGGTTAAATATGGCTACAGAGCGCGGGAGTCACCAGCATACTGGACTAGAGAGGTTCGCGTAATAATTAATGTGATTAATGTAATGTAGTAGCATGCGAATGCTGCCGTAGAGAACCAGAGACCCTTTTTACTGGAAGTGAGGCATTCCATATGCGTCCTCACTGGTTACAACGCATTTGCATTTTGATTCTTGATGTAGTATATACAGGCTGTCCCAGAAGTCGACGTCGAGTCGGAATCGGGTGAGAGGTCAAAGTGTAAAAAAATAAATATTTGCTATGTATTTAAAAAATTACAGGCAAAAATAAACAAAAAAATCGAGAAAATCTACAACCTGTCACAGTTTTTTAACTCCTGTTACTACAAATTGCAACTTTTTTAATTTTCTTTTTATTGTGTAATACGGAATAATGCTACTGAAGCTGTTGCTTAAAATTTACAGCTAACTGCTCCAGTCCAGATGGAAATGTAATTTTTTCGCCAACGAAGTAGTAAAATTACAACTTTACCCAGTTTTAAATGACTATACTGCAAAAAAAGAAAATACTGCACGGGTTTGGCAAGTAACTTTGAAAGTTGGCGCATTTAATAAGGATTCTAAAATGGTTATAAGATTATTAGTTAAATTATGGAAAATATTATTTTAAAGAGACCCAGTTGTAAATTAGTTTTCCTTACCTGACTTAAATGTTTTTTGTGTACCCCAAGGTTTTCCTCAAACCTGTTACTTGAGATTCTAGTTTGAGTGAAACGGAGGGAACCAGTTGACGAAGTGTGAGCGAGACAGAAATTTTCTTTTCAGGTAGTACAAAATCAACACGCTCCATAATTCCAAAATCACCACGCATCAGTCATTTAAAACTGGGCAAAGTATTAATTTTGAATACATGGTTGGAAAAAAAATTACATTTACTTTTGGACTGGAGAATTCAAAAGTATTATTCAGGATTACATAATAAAAAGAAAATTACAAAAAGTAAAAATTTGTAGCAACAGGAGTTAAAAGTCACAGGATGTAGATTATCTCGATATTTTTTTTTATAAATGCGTGTAATTTTTAAAATATATAGCAAAGATTTTTTTTTTTAGATTTTTCTGCTAACTATAACGACTCGACCTATCACCCGATTCCGATGACTACATCGTCCAAACACTTTATTTTTCTTTCTATTCCCAGGTGGATGACGGCAGATCATTCCAGGTGAAGGTGCGTTTCGACACCGAGGTCGACCTCACGTACTTTAAGCACGGCGGCATCCTCAACTATATGATCAGGAAAATTTTGTAGGAGTGTCCACAAAATAAATTAATTGTTGTGAATTGAACAAATGTACAGTTGTATTTTTGTGGAAGGGAAAAGGGTTTTTAAATATTGGGGGAGGGGCGATGAAAATTATGTATGGCGAATGGATAATACTATTTATATTTTGTAAGAAATAGCGGGTTCAGGGTGTTTATATATAATCATGCTGTATATTTGCTTTAAATAAAATGTAATAATATAAATTTGTTTTATTTACTGTCTGTACACATTTGACTTTAAATTTTTTTTATTTAAAAAGCTTTTAGAAAAATTTACTTCGCAAATATCCGCGTTATAAAATAAAATGATGTGTCTTATACCTAGTATGAAGAGCACCTCCCGCCCTCCCTCAATTGCGTGCACTATCTCCGTCACCACTAATCCCAGCACCGCTACTCCCAACACCACTACACTAGGCAAAACACACCACTGACGATAATACGACACGTGTTTCGCCTCTACACGAGGCATTCTCAGGTGATATAGACTCTACGGTGGCTAACCGCTAAGTTTTATAACGCGGATATTTGCGAAGTAAATTTTTCTAAAAGCTTTTATATAATGGATTTCCGCAAAGTAACGCCTGATTCTATTATTTTTTTTTATTTGCTTTCCAAGGGAAACATACAGTACAATAGTAAATTACATTATAAAACATATAAAAGTAATCCTAAAAACCAATGAAAATTCCACATATATCTAATACATTATAAAAGCTTGCCACCACAATATTGTATGAAATTTATGACTCCAAATGTCAAACAATTAAATACTAACGTAATTTTAAATGGGGAGAAACTGAGTATTGTATTAACCACCATTTTTCTCGGAATCGCACTAGACGCGAAGCTTCAATGGAGCCCCCGTCATGTATCAAAACTAGCAAACAGAATTAGTTCTGCAGCATATGCTGTAAAAAAACGTTTAAAACGTGGTAGAGCCATGCTGCAGCTATATTATGGTTGTAGCACGAATGGGTCGGCTTGACCGGGGAAGGACCACGCTCTCACAGAATACCAGCGTAAAATAGCAGCTTAACACTACTGTGTTTAGTATGGTGAGTGTAGAGAACCGGGGACCCTTTTTACTGGAAAAGAGGCATTCTAACTGAGTCCTCACGGGTAACAACGCATCTACATTTTGATTCGCAAACGAGGATAAATGTAGATGTCTATGGGCCACAACAACCACTTACCATCAGGTGGACTGTGTGCTCGTTTGTCACCCTATCATATAAAAAAAAAGATTAAAAATCTTACCAGTGTTGAAACAGCTACACTAGTTTACTTTAGCTATTTCCATAGCATAATGTCGTAGGGTGAGTGGGGGGAAGATGAAAAACGGGCTAACATAAAAAGATCAATAAAGACAGATTTTGTGCAATTTATCGAATGCAGGCAACATTCATAAGACCCCCATTTTGTTACGTCCCACACCTAAGTCGGCAGTTGTAGTTTTGAGGGATTGATTGTGTGTTAGAAGGGAATATCTACGCTGTGAATTTTACGCGAGCAAGTCGGGTGTTTTAATCTTACCCCGTGTCGTGTAACTTGATTTACGAGATAAGTACGAGTTTTTTTTATTTGTATACATACTTATTATTTTTAATTGGTAGTTATGTTGCTATGTCTAAATATCGCAATTTTTTGTATTTTAGGATTTATTGTAACATTCCGTCTTTACCCGCCAATATTTGACGGGGTAAAATAAACATATAAAAGTTTCCATCTTACCCCGTTTTCAAAAGTCATACTAATGGTCTCATGTTCTCAAAATGTACCTGAAAAAAATGTTTTGTTTTGTTTTTGAAATTTTGAAATATTTAATTTTTACGTTTTGTGCTACATATTTTGTTGACGAAAATGGTAAAAAATACATGAACGTAATTGTGTTTAAAATTATCTTGGCATTAACAATTAAAGATTTTATATGATTGATATCTTTCATTTTCTGTATAATCTTATCCAAGTAAAGTGAAAAGTTTGAGAAACTCTAGTTCAATCTTTCCCCTGCGGGGCAAGATTTATTTTAGAGACATATGTATTTCAGATGCACATTCTCTGTTAAAAGGGTTTTCCAGCTGCCATTGGTGCGGGAAAGCCATAGTGAGCTGAGATAATTACCACTAATAGGATTTTGTATAGTCAATAAAGATGTATTTAAACAATTTTCATGTAACCGATTAAGAATATCAGTATTATTAATTTGGTGCAAATATCTCTAAGTGTCCGGTAAGCGAAGTGTAGGGCGACCCCCCGCGAGATGGAGTGACGATCTGGTAAGACATGCAGGAAGTCGATGGATGCATGTGGCTCAGGACCGTGTCTTGTGGCATTCCTTGGGGGAGCATTCAGCAGTGGACTTATGAAAGGCTGTAATGATGATGACGGTCTCAAATGTAAGGGGTGAGTCGCTCGCGTCCGTAGGCTTCGACCATCTAACCCTAGGCCCACCCTACACGTGTACCCCAGGTGGTGATAAATGAACGCCAAAGCCAAAAAAATAAACAGACTCGGCTCCTCGCATGGTATGGTATGGTATGGTAGCGGCGTAAAATCTACCACCCCCATAGTTTGCACCATAAAAAAGTTTGTAAAATAAATTTTTCCGGCGTTCACTCGTGTACACTCCTAACGCAAGTGAAAGCACGTGCCGTGTAAATACAGCTATTGTCGTCATAAAATGGCGGATATAAAATTATGGTGCAAAACTGTTTTTACAGAGTTCTTGGCAATATAAAAGTCTCATGCATGCCATCTTTTGTTCGATTTTATTTAATAACTAGCTGTTCCCCGCGACTTCGCCCGCGTTTTACTTAGGGTTTTAATTTTTGCGCGGTACCCTAATTCTTTTTCTAAAATAACAGTAGCCTAAGTTACTTCTTATGACATCAGCTATCTGTTAGTGAAGGTCCCGTCAAAATCGGTCCAGCCGTTTCGGAGATTAGTCGGAACAAACAGACAGGCAGACACATAGACAAACAAAAATTTTAAAAATTGTAGTTTTTTTATAAGTACTGTATATACTTTCATATCCATTTAGTAAAAAGCTGTAATTTTGACATTACAAACAGACACTTCAATTTTATTTATTTGTATAGATATTATCAAAAATAATATATAAAAATAAATGTATAATGTATTATACGCTTAGACAAGCAAATATAACTGCCTGTGTAATATTTCTTCTAACCCTTTTGTCTATTTCTTTAAAAAACTAGTCTTCAGAACGCGTGTTTAACAAAACTGCGTGGTTTTCATACACTTCAGGTCGCAGAAGTTTCCCGTACTTAATTACTCGTGATTAGCCTTTATTTACATGATGCTCTTTACGCTCTTAATTAAAATACACGATTAATAGCGCGCGAAAGAGTTAACGTACATAAAATTAGATAAAAACCATCCCTTTTTATTTCAAACGAGGCACTCCATCTTAGTCCTCACGGGTGATTACGCATCTGCATTTTGATTCGTAATCGAGGATAGATGTAGATATCTATAGACCACAGTAACCACTTACCGTCAGGTGGACTGTGAGCTTGTTTGTCATTTTTATCCTATAACATAATTCTCTCTGAAGCACTAAGCAGTGGATTTTAAAGGTCTTATTAAGAATCATGTTCATTATTTATAGACTGACTGGTTCTATAGCAGTCAGTTCAACTATTAAAGACAAATCAAATTATATCAACTTTATAAGGCGCAGGTTCGGCCCCACATGGAATACTGTTTCCATCTCTAGGCTGGGGTTCCCCAGTGCCAGCTCCTTCCACAGCATCTTTGACAGCATCCAGCGCAGAGCAGCTCAAATCGTCGATGACCGAGTTATTTCGGCTTGACTCACTGGCACTGCGAAAAGATGTTGCACCTCTTTGCGTATTTTATCTCATCTATCACGGGGAGTGCTCTGAGAAATTGTTCGGGCTAATTCCAGCCGCTCCGTTTCGCCATCGCACATCGCGAAGAACTTGCTATACCATCATAACCATCTGGATGATTGGCGGTCCACTACCGTGCGATTTAGAACAATTTTTCTTCCTCCCACAACTTCCTTGTGGAATCGACTACCACCAGAGATTTTGCCGGATCGATACGACTTAGGGACCTTCAAGAAACCTACTCTTCTTAAAAGCTCAGCAACGCTGCCATTCTCTTGATGTTGCAGTAGTTTATGGGCGGCGGTGGTCACATTCCATCAGGTGAGCTACATGGTCGTTAGCCCCCTCTGCTATATAAAAAAAAAACTGTGATTAGCTTACCATGGTAGTGATAAAAGACAATTTTATCTCTTGTGTCCAAATCTATCTTTCAAAGTATTAATCACCAAGGATAGGCTCGCAAACATATTCATGATTGACTTAAATTAAAATTAACTTAAATTTTAACAATTTTTAATTTTGCTAAAAATGTCTTAGGGTATATGTTATCGTTAAAAAAATTTGCGCTTCGTGTCATTCATTCATAATATTTAAAATTTAATAATCAACAAAACATTGCTGAAAAATGGTCAAATGGTTGCAAATCAAACAAAAATTATCAATGCTCACCATGCATAACAATTACCATGTGATAATATTTTAATATAAAACGTAGAAGATCTGAGTATGCAGACAAACTCCGCAGAAGCGATGGGGCGACAGACGGCACTCGGCATTTTAGGTGCGTTTTTAAAATAATTGATTAATTAAAACTACTGGTATATAATTTGATTTTCATTAAATACTAAATTCGTCTGTCTTTTTTAATCGATTTAAAAAAAAAGGAGGAGGTACTCAATACGATTGTATTTTTTTTGTGTTACTTCAAAACTTTTTTCAAGGTGTAACCGATTTTGATGATTCTTTTTTTTTATTTGAAAGCTGGCGTTTCTCATGTAGTCCTATATAAATTTGATCAAGATCTGACCGGTAGTTTTTGAGTTCTTAGTATTGCGTATTTAATTGACTTCGACTACATTATGATTACGCCAAAACTAAAACATTTAAA